ACTTAGCCCTTCCTTACTTTTTTTTCTGAAATATTTTCAGCTCCCGCCTACTTTTTGTTATCGTGTTTTCATTTATGCTTGAACGCATTTTCCCACACTTTTGCTTAATTTAATTTTAGTTTGCTTACTTTTCCCGTTTGCACGCTCAGAAGCGCCGCAGCAACATTTGTGGGCGTTACACCAAGATTTGCCTCACCTTCAGCATGGCTTTGCTGCCTGCTCTCCCTGCTTCTTTGCTGTGTGAAGACATGCTGCCGAAAAAATTCTTTGCCGCAGCTGCTCGAGCGTGCGGCTTTGTAAAGGTGTAGATGATGTTAGAGAACACACACATACATATACATATACACATGTATTTACATTAAACGTCTTTGTTATTGTTTCCGCTTCGTTGTGCGCGTTCGTGCTGCTGCTGCGTTTCCTCGCCGCTCTGTTATCTTCTTCTGCTTCAAGTCTTCTATTTTGCATGTGAAAATGTTAATTAGCCTTAAAATTATGCAACGCGTTCGAAAGTATTCGACTGGGAGTTTTGTGGGGGGAAAATGGCATGGCATGGTCTCGCAGATCGACTGGAGAATACTATTTGCATATCATTTTGTGTTTTCAATTTTACAAAATATTCTAATTTTTTGATGCAAAAAACCAATTTATTATTATGTTTTGCTGTTTTCTTGATATTTTTTTCCACAGTTTTATGCAAAAAAAGTGGATACATTTTGAAAAGTAGCTTATTTTCTATGGAACGAGGATTATTTAGGAATTTATTAAATTTTTGTGCTCTTGCAACATGTTGCTACAGAGTATAATAGTTTTGTTCACCTAACGGTTGTAGGTATCACCAAAAACTAAGGAAGACAGAAATTGCATTGTATTAGATTTTGTCGCCTTCAAAGTAATCCCGACAAGACTCTTATGCTCACGATTTTTCCAGTCATCGAAACACTTTTCATAACTGATTTTATTACGATGATTGTTGACTTCTTTGCATCTCAGACTCATAAACACATGTCTTATTGGTAGTTATGATGCTCTCCATGAATGTAGGATCATAATTCGCATGTGAAGTATGTCGAAAGAGACCTGTTTAGGGTACTCGTTTTGGACGAGTCCACCAGGAACGCGTTTCTTACCCAAAATATCGACCAAAATCATTCGAAAGGACTCGTGAAATACGTCAAGCTCTCTTTTGAACACTTGCCTGACGATTTTCAAATACCTTACTCTTCACTTTTTAAAATTTTTCATCTGTTTAATTAATTAATTTTTACCATCTTCAAAGTCTTTAACCCTGTTCTAGTAGCATATCATATTAGATCGTCTCACTGAAGTAAATTAATATCAAAAGTTACTTTTTCCGAGTTTAGGACATACAAATTTTAGCTTATATAATAATATGCTTATTAATTACATACATTAGATTTAGGCTCCACATTGACCACTTGTATCTAGCATGCTTCCAAACTTAACATCAAAGGAAATTTACTGCTGATATATATTACCCATACCCTACCCTTCTAATCGCTTTGCTGCTGATCGAAAGTAATTTATGTAAGTGCTGAGACAATACAAAGGATAAAATAATTTGCTTTTTCAAATGAGTGCTCTTTTAGTATTTTCCTTTCGATTATCTAAAATGTTGTTGCATCCTTCACATACTACATATCAAGCAGCTCATTTAAACCGAAGTAAATAGGATATAGCCATACATGAGCCTGCATGTTGCTGTTCGCCTTATCATCACAATCCACTTGGCCTGCACGCAAAAATGAACAGAAAGCAACCAAAACTAAATGAGCATACACTCGTGTATCAACCGGCATATGATACAGCACACACATACATTCTCTTAAATTTCTGTATGTTTGTTGTTGTGCTGAAAACATGAGACACAGGTAGTGAATGCGAGTTTCCGCAAACCAATTTCCATTTCCTGCAGTGTTGCTCATAAATTCGTTTTTATTTAAATTCTTTTCTTCTCTTGCTTGTTCTAGTTATGCAAATAAATTCGGCAGAAACTTGAAATAACAGTAAATTTGTAGAATTCTCTGCACATTGTTTATATGGGCAGAAATGTGAGGTTAGAACATGCGATTCGAAAATGTGTGGCTTCGAAATGGGAAGCTTCTACTATTTTTGAAATGAATTGCTTGCAAATTGTGCCACTGAAGATTAATCTCCTAAATGATATACTGGTTGGGCTGTCCATTCTTAGGAATGTTGTGTACTTTTGGATAGTTTTGATATTTGGTGTATGTTTTTGGTTAGTTAAAGACCATTGATGGAGATAGTAGAGCAGTTTATATTATTATTAAATTAATACTTAAAAATATCTTTAGCTTAAATACTTTGACAACGAATAAGTTGTAATTAATATATAGACCCCTCCTCAATCATCAGCAGAGACTTAGCCAAATCTTGAAACATTCACGAAAGTGTGGAAGATAGCGAAAGTTGATATCCATATCTGAGATAGCGAGAGGCATCCTGTACGATGATGCAAAAGACAAAAGTTGTAAATCCAAATTAATTCACATTCTCACATGGAAAAGAGACATAACAGAAACTTCAAAGTATGAAAAAATAATAAGTTTAGTCGCAGACAATATAATTTGCATAAGCTAGCCAGACTAGTTAGGTGTATCGCAGCGAAAGTTGTCATAAGAGAATCTGAGCTTCAAAAATAACATTCGGAAATCTTCGCACGCTTTGAATTTATGCCGATTATTTTGGATCCAAGAGTTGAGTAGAAATGCTGGCGATATTTCATCTGCTCACATATCTGAGAGGAAATTCTTTACGGATAGATCAAAGCTTGGTGGAGGGCTAACTTGTGAGGAACTCTGTATCAATTTAAGTTTCAAACCTTCTTGCTAATGCAGTGTTTCCAAGGTGAATTACTACTCCACAGAGCAGATTCCGTCAGAGAAGGGACTATCCAACCTGATAACAGGATCTGGGCTGGTTATGGAATGCCTAACCTCGTTATCAAAGGCATCGAGTAGATTTTTGTTAAGACTGGAATGGGCGCCAAGACACAGAGGAAGCGAAGGTAACTGTAAACCTAACGAGCTGTCAAGGAAGAATACCCTAGTTCCGCTTTCAGTTAAAGGCGAACGGGTCTCTGCTCCACTCTCTTCATGTGTTTCATTACTGAACAGCTGGGCTTCGCGGGAATTGGATCAGCGCTGAACTACCGACGCTCCAAGCGCAGTCACAACATACTTTTTACATAAAGGACTACCCAGGAAAACTAACTTCTCCTCAATTGTGGTGGTTCTACCAGACCATTGTCCTATCAGCATACATGCTTCGTGATTGAGAATCTTATTATTCGCCTACTGCGGAAGCTGTACGAAAGAATATGCGGTGGAAGTATC